AAAAAAAAAAAAATATATTAGTGGAATCATGGGAATTAAGAGACAATTCTGGAAGTGATTAAAATATAACTGACTGACTGGGTGCGGTGGCTTATGCTTGTAATCTCAGCACTTTGGGAGGTCAAAGAGGGAGGATTGCTTGAGGCCAGGTGTTTGAGACCAGCCTGGTCAATGTAGAGATATCCTGTCTCTACAAAAAAAAAAAAAAAGACAACAAAACAACAACAACAAAAAACAAAGTATACACGCGCACACACACACACACACACACAAATATATATGTATATAGTTAGTCAGAGCCTAACTTGCTTGGATAATATCAGAGCCTAACTTGCTTGGATAATTATCAGAGCCTAACTGAACTGGTGAGGGGAAATAGCAAATTGCAGCTAGCTCTAGCCTTCTGTGTGGTGTTTAAGATTAACAGAAGCATTCTATAGTCAATCCTGTGATTAGTTCTGAATCTTTAAGTGAGCCTGTGCCTCTAGCCTTTAGACAAGTGCTTCCTTGCCCTTAAGGAGTGGCTAGAATACACATAAACACACATACATTTGAGCTAACAGTTTATCCTTTATATTTAAGTTACTGATATTCTATATAATTTATTTATAACTGATCTCTAAAAATAATATTATTGATAAGAATTACATACCATTATGTTCTGCATGTTGAAGAGAATATCAGCTTTTAGACTTTCAATTCTTGTGTGAAGATTACAGCTCTTGGAACGTAAGGTTTAGTGACACGAGTAAGTTACCTTTATTCTGAAAAGTTTTTATGACTTAAGTCATGGCAGAAAATGGTTACTAAACATTCATTCAATTAAACATTTATTGAGTTCCTTTATGTGTCACATACTGTATCTTTTTTGTTTGTTTGTTTGTTTGTTTTGAGACTGAGTCTGGCTCTGTCGCCCAGGCTGGAGTGCAGTGGCCGGATCTCAGCTGACTGCAAGTGCCACGTCCCGGGTTTACGCCATTCTCCTGCCTCAGCCTCCCGAGTAGCTGGGACTACAGGCGCCCGCCACCTCGCCTGGCTAGGTTTTTTTTGTATTTTTAAGTAGAGACGGGCTTTCACCATGTTAGCCAGGATGGTCTCGATCTCCTGACCTCGTGATCCGCCCATCTCGGCCTCCCAAAGTGCTGGGATTACAGTCTTGAACCATCGCGCCCGGCCCACATACTGTATCTTTAAGTAACATTCATGCAAAAGGGGAAGGCAGACAGACATTTAGTTATACAATCACTATTATAAATGAAGGTCAATATGAATATAGCACAATGGCAGCATAGCAGGAGCACCTAATTGTGTATTTCTGTCTGGGACATCAAGGAAGACTTCAGAAAAGGCAGCCAGCCATTGCCTTGAGATAGGAGGGAAGGAACAATTTGTGTTGGTTGCCTCCCCATGTGCTATTTTCTACCCTTATTCCTTTTCCAATATAGAGTGTAAAATTTCCAATACTATGTATTCATTATAAAGAGTGAAAATTCCAGGTTTTTTTTCTATGGGCAGTAAGTTTGTGAACTAGAGTTGGCTAATTGTATCTAAATGAAAGTACTGGGCATAAGGGCTACTTGTAGGGAAAAAACAAATTTTCTTGTCAAGAAAGTACTGCAGCATAAGTTCACCACTTTCTTCTCTTCTTAATGCAGGAAATGGTCTAGAATTTTGATAAGCATAGGCCCCTCCTATACCTATGATTTTATTAGGAGAGATGAATAAATGTCTTTATTATATAAGCCACTTTTAGTAGTATATTATTTTCAGCTAGGAGCATTCAAATTATTACAAAAATTAAATCAGAATCTGCCAGTCATGGCATACCTCCAGGTAGGAGAAGGGAAACACCAAGCTCCAGCTCATTCTAGCCACTCCTTAAGGGCAAGGAAACACTTTGTCTAGAGTCACTGGCTCACTTAAAGATTGAGACCTAATCATAGGACTTACTACAGAATGCTTCTGTTCCCCACACCTTAACCACCACATAGAAAGCTAGAGCTGGCTGCACTTTGGTATTTCCCCTCTCCAGGTCAGTTAGGCTCTGACTAACCGGTTTATCCTGAAGGCTGACCTTGTTAAGAACAGTGCTCATTGTATTTCAGAATGGTTCCATTTCCTCTGCCACTACTGGAAACATAAGGGCATTTTCCTCCAATATTTACTGTGAGAACCGTGTCAATCTCCAGACTCACAAAAGTGTGCGGGTATCCCTTATGACTGGCTCCCCCTGGAGTTTTTAACTCTCAGAGTTGTCCACACTGAGCTCCAGTAATTTGTCAATTACAGTTTAGGTTTTCCAAACTTGGCACTGGTTCCTGAGGCACTACTCATGAATGTCTGTTCCAGAATGCTGTAACTCCCTGTATTCTGCTGTCTGTCTCCACTCCTGGGGACAGAAGTTTGCCCTATGTCCTCACCTCTCTTACAGATCCAAGAATGGTTGATTTTTCAGTCTGTTCAGCTTTTTATTTGTTGTTAGGGTGGAGTAGCAAATTTCAGCCTCCTTACTACTAACTGGAAACTGGAAGTCTGTTCTTCAGTGTTTATTTTTTTTTTTAGAATGGCAGCTATTACTGCCTGTTGACTTTTAATAAAGGTAGAAAATGTAATACAATGATTCCTTAAATTTGCTTTTAATAGATATAAATAATGATTACCTGTCAGAAAGATCTATTGAAGAAGTTTATTACCTTTGGTGTTTGGCTGGAGGTGACTTGGAGAAAGAGCTTGTCAACAAGGAGATCATTCGATCCAAACCACCTATCTGCACACTCCCCAAGTAAGGAAAGAAACTTCTCTTGTAAATTTAAATAAATAAATAAACGATAATAATTATACTTATATGGTAATAAAAAAAAGAAAATTGGTTGTTTTAAAAATTTTTTTTGGTAGACATCCCAACTAAGTGATTATTGGAAGCAATTGAAATCAACACCTTGTTTGACTGACCAGAGTTTCTAATTGCAGTTCCCATCACTTGTCTTTGATCTGTGATTTGCTTTGTGACCTATTTGAAGTGAAGTTAATACTATGGAATATCTTGCAATAATTGATGTTAATGAAAAATACACAAGTCACAATAGAATAAGAGAGTTAACTAAAAACTAGTTAGTTTGCCTACTAAAAACAACTATGTTCTTTTTGCAAATATACTTGTAAATGTAAATGAACTGTGTGGTCTCACTGCATGTCCTAAAGATCATTACTGTGCTAGTGTGTTGCAAAAACATCTGCAAAACTGTATAAGAAGGTATCATGCTATAAGTTAGACTCCAAGTTAAATACCTCTGCAACCTTGGGGCTAAGATTGTCATTAACATTGCTATTCATGTTTGTTCATAAAAATATGAACCTAAATTTCTTGAGCTTCTACTAATACTTTAAATTTTTAATTTTAGGCTTTGAGAGGCAAGGCAAGTGAATTGAGTGAGCCTAGGAGTTTGAGATCAGCCTGGGCAACATGGCAAAACCCTGCCTCTACAAAGAAAAAAATTAGTTGGACATGGTGTTGTGTGCCTGTAGTCCGAGCTACTCAGGCAGCTGCAGGTGGGAGAATCACCTGAGCCCAGAGAAGTTGAGGCTGCAGTGAGCCGAGATCATGCTACTGCACTTTAGCCTGAGCAAATGAGAGACCCTGTCTCAAAATAAAATAAAATAAAATTTTAATTTTTAGATTTCAAGACTTAGGTTTGATCATTATAGGCAACTGTAGAAGTAATCTGCTCATCATTTTTTTCTTTTCAAACTTCTGTATTGTTTGGATTGACTAGTTTATTTTTTTTTCTCTTTTAATCTGATTTTTAAATGTTAACTTTGAGTATACCACTTATACATTGAATTAAGTAGAAAGTAAGAAGTAAGATTATGGAAATTGTAAGAAGAAATAGTTTAAAGGGCATATAGATTCTTAAAAGTAATTTATTGAAATTGTAAACAAATTTTACTCATTTATTATTTAATATCCTTTCTTCTATGAGGTTACTATCCAATATGCTTTTTTCTTTCTTCTTCCCTTTGTCTTTTTCCACTCGTATAAAGTTTCTCGGGAAAACATTGGGCTAATGTCAGGAGAGTACTGTTAGCATTGAAACTGCATGAACAAAGGGTTGTAAATGACACTTTTGTTTTTCTGAAATTTTCTTATATTCATACCAACTCAAGAGTTATTTAAAAACGAGACTTGTTTGAAGAAATCTCAATACATTGTTTTATTAAACATCCATTCGAAAGTTTAGTTCTTTTTTAATGAAGGGATTGATGACTTAGAATAAACTTTGCTTTCTAGAAGAAACAATAAACTGGATTTTATGTGCATATTATTTTTAAAAATTTCTTTTCAGTTTTCTCTTTGAGGATGGCGAAAGCTTTGGACAAGGTCGAGATAGAAGCTCACTTTTAGATGATACCACTGTGACATTATCATTATGCCAGCTAAGAAATGTAAGAATGATATTTTCACAGTTCTGCTTTAGTTTTTTTTTTTTCTTTAATTAAAACCTTACAGATACACAAGATATTGTGTATGGCTCCTTGATTTCACAAAATATGGGAGAGCTTCTGTAAAATGTGTGCCCCAGAGTAAATTGCATCTGTGCAACTTCAGCTTTATTACCTGAGTGTTCACAAAAATGATTTTATCAGTTTATCTTTTCGCCATCATTGGGTAACTGTTCTCATTTCTTTATTTACCTGGTAATGCTTTCTTTTATCAAATTTTAAAAAGTTGTTAATCTAATGATATGGAAAAGTATTTTGCTATAACACTAATTTTTAATTTCGTGATTATAGTGCAGTTGTAAGTCTTTTCATATATTTTATCACTTCGCCTACCTCTTTATGCATTACTAGTTCATATCTCTTGTCAGTTTGTCTTTTGAGTGATTTCTTATTGATTTGAGGAGTTTTAGAACTATATCCCTGATATCGTATCTTTGTGAGCGGTATGTCATGGAAATATATTCTCATCTGTAGCTCTTCCTTCAACTTTTGATTGTTTTATTGAATAGAATTCTAAATTTTTATCAGTATTTTCTTTTATAGTCAAATGTATTTTGATATATTTTTTCTTGTAACTTACTTAAAGTAATAGCAAGGTTATAAGTATATTTTATAATGTTTTTATATATTTCCTTTTAAAAATTTTAAATAATTGTTTCCCATTTAATTCTTTAATCCACCTAGAATTTATTTTAGATTAAGTTGTAAGGAAGGTATCCAATGTCGTATTTCATTGATTAAAAAAATACCCCTTATGTCAGTACCATATAATTGAATAGTTTTCTCTTCACTTTTTTGATGTGCAATACCAACTTTTTCTATGTGCATGGATATGTCTCTGGGCCTTGGTATTCTAATTTGTTGGCCTGTGTTTCTAATTTTAGCAAATACCACACTGCCTTAATCTATAGTTTTATGTGAACTGTTGATATCTAGCAAAGGAAGACTTTCAGTTTTTTTGTCCTCAAAATGGAGTAGGAGCTCTTTAACATCTTCCTCTACTAGCTGATTTTTATTATCATCATAAAGACCTTCATAAAAAATTACAGGGTTTTGATTGACATTGCATTAAATTTATAGGTTAATTTGTAGAGAATTGATGTATTTAAAATGTAGGGTTTTATTTCTTGAACATGCCTAAATAAATATGTCATTTATTTGTCATATTTTATATAACAATTTTCTTTTTAATGTCTGTATGTCAGTTATCAGATTTATTCCTAAGGTAATTTATTGTTGCTCTTGTAAATAGAATATATATATGTGTGTGTATGTGTGTGTGTGTGTGTGTATATATATATGTGTGTGTATGTGTGTGTGTGTGTGTGTATATATATATGTGTGTGTATATATATGTATGAGTATGATTTTTTCCAACATTTTGTTATAAAAATTTTTAAACAGAAAAGTTGGGAAGCATTTACAGTGAACAAGTTACCGCCTAGATCAACCATTTGATATGGTCTATTAGCAAAATCAAGTTACACCTATTCATTGACCTATTATGTATAGCTGTTTTGTTCTACAGTGGCAAAATTGAGTAGTTGCGATAGAGACCACATGGCCCACAAAGCTAAAAATATTTGTTATATGTTCCTGCATAGAAACAGTTTGCTAATCTGTGACCTAGATTCTATAATTAACATTTTACATGCTTTACCACATGTCTGTCTATCTTTCTAGTCATGCATCAATCCATCATATTTTTCGTTCCTGTTTTTCAAAGTAAAATGAAGACATTACTACAATTCAGCTTACACATTAGAATTTGAGATTTGTTTATGGTTCTTTTCTAGGCAAAATTTTCATGTAGTAAAATGTACAAATCTTAAGTATACCAGTAGATGAGTTTAAAATATACATCAATAATATGTTTTCATGTAGTAAAATGTACCAAATCTTAAGTATACCAGTAGATTATTTTTAAAAATACATCAATAATATTTTTTTAAATACCATGTCAACTACTATTTTGTGCATGATTAGTAACACAATTGATTTTTTTATATGGATTTTGTGTCAGGCAACGTTGCTGAACTTATTCTTTTTTAAATAAGAATAGGACTCTATAGAGTCTCTGTGGTTTTCTTGGAAATGAAGGGAAAAACACTACCTTAATTCACTTCACTCACTTCATCTTTTGTAATTATTTTTGCTGAGTCTCTATAACACTATTGAATAGAAACAAATAGTGGGCATTCTTGTCTCATTTCTGGTTTTAAAAGGTTGCTTTTTATATTTCATAATTAAGTATGATATTTGTTGCATTGAGCTGTAGACATCTGTTCTAAGTTATACGTTTTGTTATGAATGGGTGTTGAATTTCACTGAGTGTTTTTACTGTATCTATTGGGATGGTCATATGGTTTTTTATGTATTATGTTAATGGATTTAATTATATTGATGGGGTTTTTCAATGTTGAGCCATGTTTATATTTCTGGAATAAACCCAATCAGATCATGATTTCATTTTTCCTTTTTTATACATTTGTGTTTTGATTTTTCTAATATTTTGTTTAGAATGTTTGCATTTTTGTATCTATTTGAGATGGGCCTGTGAGTTTCTTTTCTTTTACTGCAACATGCTAGTTTGGTATCAGGGGTGTACTAGTCTCATAAGATAAATAGGAGAGTGTTGCCTTTTTTTTTTTTATTCTCTGAAAGACTTTATATGATTACATATATCTATTTCTTGAATGTTTCATGGGAGTTAGCTTTAAAACCATACTGTAATGGCTCCTTATCCCTATCTGGGTGTAATCATTACTTCAGTCTGCTTAATGGTTATAAGTTTACTCAGGCTGTTAATTTTGTTTTTAAATCATTTTCTAAAGTTATATGTTTCAAGGCCTTTAAGCTTGCTCTTCCCAGTGCCTCTAACACTCTTCCGCCGCTTCTATTTCCTTTCTTTCCATTCTCTGCTGAACCGTTACCTATTGGTGGGCTTTTGTTGGCCATCCTTTATCAAATAGCAACGCCACACCTATCCCTTGTATTCTTTATCCTGTTTTTTTTTTTTCCTCCATTGTACTTCTCTTCATTTGATATATGTTTTCTTCCTATATGATAACTGAATGAAGGAATGAATCCTCTTATTATTTAAAAGCCCTATTAATATTGTAGTAAAGTACAGGGGAGAAGTATTTTATAATCTTATGATTAAGTCCCAGATTTTAGTGAGCCTGTATTCCTGGGCTGTGACCTTCACAAGGTTTCTCAGCTTCTCCCACTCCTCTGCCCCAAGCTGAGACAGGAAAGCTAGAGGGACTAGAGTCGGGTATTTCTTTTCCCCTACATCAAAGACTGGAGTGGACTGGAGTTGAATATTTCCTTCCCAAGTTGGCTAGATTTCTGCAAAACCCAAGTTAGTTAGGACCTGGCAGAAGAGTTTCCCTTTAAGGCAGACCTCTCTTAAGGAAAACAGAGTACCCTGGCTATATTTCAGGTTGTTTACTTTCCACCTCCCCCTGCAGGAAGTCAAGGGTATTTTTCTCAGATCTTCACCCTGAGAACCTGGTGGGACCTGTGGAGGTTAATCTCATGGAAGCAAGGAAGGCCTCCCTAAGGCTGGGCCTCTAGAAGTTTTTCTCTCTCATATTAGTCTGTGCTCAGCCTGCAAGTATAAATAAATACCTTTTAATTAATCTTAACAGGCTCCAGCAGTGGCTCTGTTCCTGGTGAGCTGTGATTCCCTGTATTCGAGGGTCCCTCCAGTTTTTAGGACATCACAGTGCTCTGATTCTGATAGATGTGAGACGAGTTCTTGATTTTCAGTTTGTTCAGCATTTTTCTTGTTAGAGGAAGAATGATGCTTTCTAAGCTGTTTATATTTTGTATAAGAAAGTGGAAGTCCCAGCCTTTTTAATTTTAACTATTCATAGCCAAAGCTAAAATAAGTACCTATCCTTGTTTTCTGTCTAAGCTAGCAATTCCCCTAGTTTTTATTTACGTGGCTTTAGAAGGGTCTTCTCCATTCTGAAGGTCTGTTATGCAGGTTCCCAAACCTTTATCCCATTATGGTCTAAATATCTAGACCGCAGTTATTAACTCCTTTCTTCTAGGCCTGGTTTTATATCTGTTATCACAGCATTTTCTTTATGTTTTAAAGCTTAGCTAACCATTTAATATTTTACATGTTATGTAGTAGGACAGTATTAGAATCCATTGTCTACCATAATGCCATCAACAGAAAATTAAAATATATAATTATTACTACTCAATACTCTGAATTTATAATCTCTTTGAAAGAAAGAATGTGGAAAGTAACAAAATAAGTAACAATACCATGCAGCAAACAATAAATTACATCCAAAATATCTGATTTCAGCTGATTTTGTTTTGCTCTCAATTTGTTTCTTCAATTTAAATATAATCCAAGTTAAATGAATGTAGGCTTCAAGTCTAAATGTCTCAATGCCTTTACAGTTCTGCTTGCGAAATTTAAAATACTTTTCTTCTGTAGTTATTAAGAAATATTAATTTGCTGATTCTTAAAATGATATGGAAACCAAATAATTTTTAGTGTTTTCGTTCACCTTTTAAAATTCCTAATGTGCAAAATTTTTGTTTAGAAAAGACAGACAAGATACTTATAGATAAAATCAATGACATTCAGGATACTGAAAACTAATCTTTAATAACAAGATATGTGTATTAATAATGCAGTAACACTTGGGAAAATTTAATTTCTTTATTTAAAGTTTTAATATATGAAAGATATACCTAAAGGTTTACTAAAATAGGATAAGCGTATAGCACATTAATTTTTAGAGGAGAACCAGGCGTAAATTCAGTGTTTGCTGAATTCTTAGTGTTGAGTAAAAGATTTTTCTTCAGCTTTAACAATTCTGGGAATAACTCACATGGGTGCACAATGACTGATCAACAGAAGATCAGTGCTTGGTGCACACACAGCTTGAACTTCTATGTCAATCCCCATAGGAGCAAACATTCTGCCTTCAAGATGGAAGTTGAACAGCAGAGCAGTGGGCAAGATGGCATTAACTTTAATCACCTTGCTTAGAATGTGATTAACATTTTACTTTACTACTGCCTTCCTGCTTCTGATTTTGAAGAATAACTATAATCCTGTCAGGGTTGTTATTTGAAACAACTATTAAAATAACTTTGTAAAAAAAATCATTAAGTAAACTCTGTCCATTGATTTATTAGCTATTTGAGTCATACATGTTCAAAGTATGATGTGAGAAATGTTTTGGAATCCTTTTTCTAGTACCTTTCTTTTTGACTTAGCTTGTATTATGCCAAAGCAAAAATAAATCTAAGTTGTTCTTTCAATATGTACATGGCTATATAGTACCTCTTTTTAATCATCTTTCTTCATATAACTTAAAATTTTTTTCCCATTCATTAAGTTTTATACTAGTGCTAGTAATTCTGAGTTGTGTTTGGAAAATATATCATGATAGGTGTCTAACATTTATGAGTGATACCTATAGATAAGAAAAAAAAAAAAGAAAAGTTGTTTTTCACAGCCAAACCTTAATCAGTAGAGGCATTGTATGCTTGCATGTTTATAAGAACTGATTTTTAGATTCTATTTTATACTTTTCTAGGTCCCTTTATAAATTCATAGTTGTTGTATTACTTGTCTTTTTAAACACAGATCAAAGTTTCTGCCCAATATCTTTATACATAAATATTGTCTTTAAATACACAGAGATTGAAAGATGTTGGTGGAGAAGCATTTTACCCATTACTTGAAGATGAGTGAGTATATATAGTCTCATTTTACATTTATTTTTCTTTCTATTTATATTAGATTTATAAGAATTTTATACATTTTCTTTAAATGTGTTTCCTAAATAGAAAATAATAACCTGATATTTTGGTTTATTAAAATTTTGTGCTTTTTCTGAAATCACTGTCGGTAGAGTTAGGAAGAAAAAAGAAAATGTACCTTTTGTCCATTTTTTTTTTATTGCTTTTGTTCTCTTTTACAGCCAGTCTAATTTACCTCATTCAAACAGCAATAATGAGTTGTCTGCAGCTGCCACTCTCCCTTTAATCATCAGAGAGAAGGACACAGAGTACCAACTAAATAGAATTATTCTCTTTGACAGGCTGCTAAAGGTATGTATTCTAAAGTATAAAGTGGTAACAGTAGCCCATATGGAATTCTTTTTTTTAATTTTTTCGATAATTCTTAGGGAATCTTGAATAATAAGAAGGTTAATTTTTATGACCTATCTTGTCCTGTTAGCTTTCTTTAATTTTAAAAATGATACATGTTCTTAGTAAGTAAAATTAGAAAGTAAAAACAGGGTGTGGTAATATATGCAAAATCATGTTAGACAAAGGATTAATGTCCTTATTTTTTATTTTATTTTATTTTATTATTATTATTATACTTTAAGTTCTAGGGTACATGTACATAACATGCAGGTTTGTTACATATGTATACTTGTGCCATGTTGGCGTGCTACACCCATCACCTCGTCAGCACCCATCAACTCGTCCTTTACATCACGTATAACTCCCGGTGCAATCCCTCCCCCCTACCCCCTCCCCATAATAGGCCCCGGTGTGTGATGTTCCCCTTCCCGAGTCCAGGTGATCTCATTGTTCAATTCCCACCTATAAGTGAGAACACGCGGCATTTGGTTTTCTGCTCTTGCGGTAGTTTGCTGAGAATGATGGTTTCCAGCTGCATCCGTGTCCCTACAAAGGACACAAACTCATCCTTTTTTATGGCTGCATAGTATTCCATGGTGTATATGTGCCACATTTTCTTAATCCAGTCTGT